CTGGGTGTAGTGGCAGGAAGGGCCACAGGGCAGGTTCTCTGTGATTCTAGCAAACCGGGTAAGGAAAAGTCCTGGAGCCCTCGGTGGTTTTTCCAGGCTTTTGTTGGGATTTACCAGGTACAAGGCCGGCTGGCAGGCCTCCCAGTCCCCAGCAAGTCTTCACTCTCTCTGGGCTCTCGGACGTTCTCTCCTGGTCTCGTTCTCCTTCTGTTCTCCTTCCCTCCGCTCTTCCGGTAGTTGAGTTCTGCTGGTGTCCCCGTGACCCCGCCCTTGTAAGTCCACTCTTAGCCCAGCCCAGGTGTATCCACTGATGTATGCCCACACCTTACTCCAGGTGTCTGCCATCAGGCATGCATTCAGGACCACAGGGTTCCATCATCATCCTAATGGTGGGAGGGCAGAAAAGCCTGGTAATTTACTTATCCTACACTGGGGATCTAAATATGTAATATTTAGTTCTTTATTGAAAAAAAGCTTGTCAATCCCTAGTAAATTCATGATAAAGGATATCATTGGGCATACTTGGAAGAACATTCTTAGTGGTCTGAAAAGGGGACACAGAGGCTGATCTGACAACAGTCAAGAGGTTAAGATGGTTTTTTCTATTTTTTTGTTATTTTGTTTTCTCACATCATTGTTTGTTTTGTGTAAAATTTGATTTTTTTCCCTTCAAGTGTAGTCCCTGTAGTTCTCCCACCACCATAGCACCCGTGAACCATCACCAAAGTCCCTTGTGCTCTTGCCTCCCCTGTGTGAACCTTCTCCCACTCCCTCCCCTGCAGTATACCTCACACCTGTGGTTGGCTTGCAAGTTTGTCTTTTCCTGACCATTTGTTCAGTTTTCCCATGTTCCACCTATAAATGAAATAAGGTGGTTTCTTCTAAATCCACTAAATCTAAATGCACTGGACAGGGGCACAAGGTTGCCCAGCAGTTAGGACAACTGATTCGGTTTTAGAATTGGAGTATTAAGTATCAGAATCTTAGGATAGAAAACTTTAGTTAGAGACTGACTCTTATCCTAACCCCTGCTAAGTCAGTAGCTAGCAATCAATTGTTCATTTAAGTCTAAAATTCTTTTGTATCATCTTGAGTCTCATAACAGATCCCTGGTCTGCAGAAGCCAGCACTTACACAGATAAGAATCAAGTTGATAAGGCATTAGAAGGGATTATGAAAGCCAGCTTAATTAAAGAAACTTCAACGGGATCATAAATAATCAGTGCAAGTTATTAACTTTTGACAACTGCTCATCCGTACTGAGTTCGAATGACTTCTGGCCTATAAAGTCCTTAATCTAATTCTGAGTGAATAAGGGAAAATGCCCTTTATAATGCTTTGACTATAATCAACAAATCTTTGAAGCAGAAGTGTCCCCAAATATATTAAACATATTCCGCATTTTCTTCTATTCATACCTCTGATTCCATCATTTTTTTTTTCCACTTAGGAAACTCACTGGTCAAACTTTAGTCTGTTCTATAAAAAAATAGATCAGTTAACATATTCTCTTCAAACTCTACTCTAGACGTCATTGCCATTGCTTGTTTTTTTCCTCTTCATTCACTAAGTATACTTTAGATACTTGCCTTGTAGTAGTAATCTGATTTGGCAATTTAGTCGTGTATAATCTTACACTGCCCGTCAGACCACATAAACTTCAAGTGGTCATAGGCTGTATCTTACTCTGCCATGAACCCCCCAACATGGCTGTATGAAATAGGCACTCAAACTGATCAGTTTGCTTTCCTGCTTTTCATGGTTTCTCTTTGAGATATCATTCATGTTCAGGTACCTAAGAATAATTTTCTCAATAGGAGAAACGTACCGTTTTTCTTGGCTCATATACTTTTTGAGAGAATTCAGCACCTTTTCTAATTTTTTCACTTTTGTTGGCTTATGTTTTTAAACACATTATCAGAAACTGAACAAAGTTAAGAGTGATAGTTTAAAAAAAAAAATGGGTTGATTTAATTTAGTAATTTCCCATGTGTTCACCGTGCTTTGCTGTATTAGTTAATTTTTGCGCAATGTGTACATACATATTGAATTGCTCTGTGACTTTTTTTAAAAAAGGAGAAATGTGAATCAAGGGGTTAGTTGACATCTTTCAAATGAGATGACTTCAGGAACATTCAGTGACCCATTGGAGATTTCTGACACTCTATCTTAGAGGTTCTAGTAAATGTTGTCCAGAATAGATTTTCAATCTGTGTTTCAGTGGATATTGGTAAATATGAGAAAAATAGTTGAATGATTAATTAAAGGCAAATGATTAGACATACTGGGTTTTAAAAAAGTCCACAAAATTTATACTGAGTACTTTTATATTAGATAGGTTGTTGAAAGAGCATTCAAGAAAGAAATGTTGATCTGAAAAGGACAAAGTAGGAATTTATTTGTAGTGAGCAGGATGTAAGATATATGTAGTATTAAAATAATTTTGTTCTATTAAATCTGCATATGGGGTAGCAAATAATGTCAGTGTGTGAACCTACATGCACCTTATATTGAAGTTTTTAGCTATGATGGTTCCAAGTGAGAGAAAGAGAAAACCAGAGCGCAAGAGTCCATTCACTTAGAGAACTCTACAGGGTTCACTGAAGATGGGTGGGTGTAAGGAAAATGGGGTACTCAGGGTCTTTTTCGCCTCTCACCCCTAGCCTCTGCAGCCACCAGATGTACCTTTGCTTTCCTCCCAGGTTGCATTACCTGCACGTGCTACCCTGCTGTTGCAAAAAGTGTTTGGACTTGAGAGCATGGCCTGTGTGCATATGTACATAGACACCTGGGCCGAGGAGTAGGGGATAGAAGGGAGAATCAGAATCGTGGGGGCTGGGGGCTCAGTTGCTACCTCTCCACCGGCTGGTTCTGTCTGTGACTCTGGTCCCCTGATTCAGGATTAAAGGCATGTTAGGAATACTGAGTGCTTCAAAATTCTCTCTTTGTCAGGGGCCTCCCCAGTGGCATAGCAGTTGAGCACTGGGCTGCGAAGCTGCCCGCAGCCTCTGCAGTGCTGGTTTGATCCCTGGCCATCGGAGAGGGTCCCACATGGAGCGCAGACCTCTCCTGCTGTGCCCGCTGCTCCCCTCAGCAGTGTGCTCCGCCGCTCTGCCTGTTCTGCTCCCCGCTCTGGCTCTGGTGAATTCTCTCACCCTCCCATGCTTCTGACTATTATACCCAGTGCTTGTATAAATAAATAAATAAATCTTTAAAAAAAATTCTCTTTGCCTGAATCAACAATGAATCTACCCTGTCTGGGATGGTTGCACAACAGTAGGGGATCCCACTTTCAGCCCCTATAAAGGAGCACATCTGAGTCTTCTTTAAACTTCTTTAAATACTCATGATAAACAGATTTTGTTTGCTTATTTGCTTTTAATTTAGGATTTCTTAGAGGTATTAGAATATACGTCTTGGCTTTCCTTAAAGCAGAGGTTTTCAAGGGGTTGTCTGAGAGTTTAGGGTTCCCTGAGACCTTTTCAGGAGGTCAGTGAGATCTTTCCCTTTCAAATAACCTGCTTCTGTGAGGCCAGATGTTCATTTGCTTCAAACAAAATGACTTAGGCAATAGACTGACTACAGAAGCATATATAAGAATACAGCTGCTTGAATTAGAAAGATATTACAAAGATTTGAAAAAATGAGAAACAATGTGACATTTCTCCTTTTTTCCCAGAATTATTTTTTTACTTAAACTAACATAATGAGTTTACTATTTTAAAATCAGTTAATAAAATTTTTAAATCCTCCATTAAAAAATTTAATATGTATCAGCAGATAGAACCACATAAATCTCTGGAGTCCACTTTTTTAAGAGTGTAAAATTTTCATGAGACAAGAAAAAAATTGAAAACTTCTATCCTAGAGGGAAGTCGGGTGTGATGTGTTTTCCAAAATCATTTGAACAATAACTACAAGCAACTATGCTTTTGTGTACAACAATAGTTTCAAGATAATGTCATCACTAGGAATCATGAAGTAATGAGAGTGGACAGTTGCTGCTTTGAAGGAAAGGTGATGTAGCTTATACATTCATCATTCATCTCCTTTTCTCTTCTGATTGGGGATCATTTTAAATGGCCTATTTTCAAATTCATGGCCTTTTACTTTTGCTTGAACAAGATTGCTTGTGATGCTCCCTATTGCATTTTCTATTTTATTGGACTCTTCAACTCCAGAAATTCTGTTTGGTCCTTTCGCTATGATTTCTATTGAAGAAGTTTCACCTCCTGCAGACTTTGCTGACTGGTTTCAGGAGAGAAATAGTTTCATCAGTTGTCTGGCTAAGAATTCTGAGGCTCCCGGAGGCTTTTATGGACATATGCACTCTACATCTCTTGTTCCCTCTTGTGGGGAAAGAGGGAACTCAAGATTATCTGACTCCTCTCAGTCCTGCAGTGCCAGGCCAGATGCTGAAAGTCCTTGTTTACACTGTGGTGATGCCCTGAACTTAAGTTTCCATGCTTTTTCCTAATCTCGCTAACAGTTTGACTTTCTGTGTGTGTTCACAAGTCATCTGTAAAGTCTTACAGTAATAATCCACTGGGAGCCAATCACAGTGTAGAAGGGGGTTTGGGTGGGTGAAGTACAAGGAGCTTTGGAGGTACCCATGGACCAGTTGGGGGCATCCAACCTGCGTGGTAATCTGTGTGATTTATGGGGTCTTTCTTGTAGTGTTTCTGAAACCCTTAGTAGGATATACAGCCCTTTGATGAATTCTAAGCCTTGGTTGCTATCTCCTAGCTTCTTTCAGTCTCTTTTGTGTGCTAATCACCTCATTCTGGTTTGGGTAAAAAAGAGGTGGGCACCTTAGGCTATGTCCCACATGGATAGGGAGATAAGATACTCACTGTACTCTCTTTCCCAAGTAGGCAGAATTGCAGACCATGAGGTAGATCTCTGTTTCTCTCTTGGCATTGAAATATGTCACCTTTGGGGAGGGGTGATGCATTTAAAATTGAAATTGTTCTAACCTTCTTCAATGCATTTATTTTCAGATTTTTTCATTCCGTTGGTATGCTGGAACTTCTCTGCTGTACTCCTGGACTCCCACAAAGGTACTATCATCCAGGGTGGTGGTTAGGATCAATGTTCTGTGGGTGAATGATGGTAGAAAGCTCCTTTTTCTGTTGTCCTGCTGACATTGCTTTTTGGAATTTATACATTGAATAATCATTTTCACTTTATGGTTTGGATAAAGCAAATTTGGGGAACTTGCAGCTGGAGTGAATATTCTGAATAATTTCTTGAATCACAGTGCTAGGATCTATAGCGATTTCCCATACTGTGAACAAATGGGCTTGAGTGGAAGGGTGAGATTGATAAGAGGATTTTGAAGGTCAGGTTGAATGGAGAATAAGAGACTTAATAGATATTTGTTTAAAATGGTGGAAAAGGAAGGAAGACCCAAAAAGTTTGAGCAAAATAAGAAGGTATTTCAGTTGGATTACAACTGATTCATACTTGCTTATCAATAGATGTTGATAATAAAAGCACCGGGGTGCAGAGAGAGCTGTGCAGTGGGAGGGGTTTCTAAGTGGGGACTGTGAAGTTCAGCATGTCTGGAACTTTAAGGCCTGTCAACCTCGTCTCTATTTGGGCAGCAACACCTTAAGCCTCTAGTCCTTTTACCTTTGATTGGCCCCTGGAAGTGTTAATCATTTTGCTGTTGTTTATTTGTTTTGGATGTGCACTTTATCATGAGGGTGTGGCTATGAGAAGTGAAACCTGAAGGACCCTGGTTATACTGGTGGTGATGACAGCAGTGGGTGGGTAAGGGTGGGGGCATAGATGGAAGATGGTTATTGCAATGTGAGGAAGGGCAAGATGGGCTCAGTTCTTAAAAGGTTTGCAAAACCTACCCCTGTGAAGTAGTTTTGATTTATCGCAGTCCTTGTCTCTCCAAGTTGCTGATATACACAGTACCATCAAACATCGCCTAAGTTGCTATAAGTGAATACAATCTGTCTTTGGCATATTGGTATGGGGGTGTGTGTTATCACAGCACCGGTTCTCTCCATCATGTTGGTGCAAGGTGAGGTCAGGAAGACCTGCGTTGTGCAATGGCAGCATGAGTATCAAAACATTCTATTTTAAAACATGATGTGACTTTTGCTAGTAATGAGCCAGGTTAAATGATTTACAGCTCTGAGACTCCACTTCTTCTTCTTTGTGCTGAAAAGGACTGCAAAATAAGATTTTAAGTATTTACAATCATCTAATAAAATACTTCATGAGTATTTATGAGGCACTTCTTTAACTGGATAAATTGTAATATTAATCAAAATCAAGATTACTACTTGGAGCTCTTCCAAGGACCCAGATCACAAAGCTTTTCAGGTATTTCTCAATTCATTAATTCTCGGTTAAGTTGTTTATCCCATTCTTTCTGGATGTACAAGAATGCAGCCATTTGACAGGAAGTCAAACAATCCCAATACGAATTACTGTTTGCCGGTTTATTAACTAAATCATGATGACTTAGGATATTGTTAATATTAAATAAAATCCCTTCTAAGTGAATATGCATGAATGCAATTTCATTATGTTATGATTTCCTCTTTGTTCTGTGATTGAGACCCTGTGGGAGGCAATTTCATAGCTCAAAGTTAATTCTTTTCACATCCTCTTTCCTTACCCTCCTCTCCTGCACCCACTGGCCCCCTCTCGGTGGAGTAGGGAGCGAAGCATAGTGCTTTACCTCAGTGAGACAGACTCTTTGAGACAGACTCTGAAAGAATCCCTTAGAAGACTCATCTGTCTAGACTCTGAAAGAATTCCAGGAATGATCTAGATTGCTTCAACTTTCTATTTTTTAGTTTTTTTATATTTTTTTATTTTATATATTTTTTACATCATTTTTCATTTTTGCACAATGTATGCATTTTCATCTTGGTTATAGTCCCCATACAATTCCCACCGCCCTTGTTTTGATCCTACTCCCTTCTCTTCCCCCTCCCCAGCCGTGACTTTTTCAAGACTTGTTTGTAATACATAAGCTATGTATTATACATTTATGTATTTATATGCATTATCATCTAAATAAATTAAAATGTTCATTATGTGGGCAGGAGTTTAGCACTTGTCCACATCTTCTGCCTCAAGTTCAATATGTTTTCCTAAGGAATCACTTTAGGTATCCTAGGGCAATTGACCAGTTGTACTAGAACATCAACAAGAAACAGAAAGTAGAAGATCTGGAGTTTGATCATAGGTCTAGCTATGAGATTTTGAAACAGTTATTAAGATCTTTGCACCTCATTTGCTTTTCTATAAAATAGAGATATAATTATCTACCACTTGGATATTTTTATGGTATTTCTGAAGACAAATATATCATACCAGAAGATATAATCAAACATATCTTTTAAAAATAATAATGATAATGAATTTTATAATAAGGATTTTTACCCTTAAGCTCCTTATTTCTTCCACCTGGACTATTATTTGTCTAACTATATTCTTGCTCACTCTTACCCATCTCCAAATGACTTTATCAAGAGGATTGAGAAAATATAACATAATTTAAAAAACAAATGAAATTATGTTGTCCCTGATTAAATTGCTTAGTGACTTGACATTGCATACTACATTATCTAAAAGGATACATTCGTTTATTAATTCAATTAACACTTATTGACTGTGCTAGGCTTATAAAAGATGTTAATGAGAAAACTACAATTCCAGACATTAGGGATTTTAGATAATTTGTCTTTAGTCCCCTTCTGAAGAGTCATTTATAATCTTAGATAATATAATTGGACGAAAGAAAGGAAATGCTAATATGAAAGACAGTTGACATGAACACCTTTACATGTGGGTTACAAAGAGACTGATCCAGGAAATTATGTTATATGGTGTGAAAACACAAGTGTCCATAGGGGAGTGGAGGACTGGACTCATTCACCTGCATGGTGACAGTGCTCCCCTCCACAGGGCTGCAGAGTCGACTGCCATCAGCAATGTCTGTGGATTCCATGATTGTACATTTTCAATTTAGTAAGGGATCATCTGCACAGCTTTCTCAAAATAGGCAAACTTTCCTTTAACCGAACGACTATGCATCATATGAGGCCAGGGGTCTCTTTTTACTGATCACTTTTTACTGAAGTGTTTTTTTTTTTTTTTAATTTATATATATTTTACATCATTTTTCAGTTTTTTGTTTTTTTTTTTTAAGATTTATTTTATTTATACAAGAACCGGGGTACAGGCCAGATGTGCGGGAGGGTGAGGGGATTCACCAGAGACAGAGCGGGGAACAGAATAGGCAGACTGATGAAATACACTGCTGAGGGGAGCAGCTGGCAAGACAGGAGAGGTCTGCTCCCATGTGGGACCCTCTCTGGCCTGCAGGATCTTCACACCGCTATGCTCAGCTGCCTGTGCCACCAGGGATGCCCCTCATTGTTCAGTTTTAAACAGTGTTTGCTTTCCCCTCCCCCAACCTCAGGTGGAGTCCCCATAGAATTTCCTTCAGGATGCACCCATGCACCATCACCTCAGTCCCCTGTGCTCCTCCCTCCCTCCCTCTGATCCCTCTCCCTCCTCCTCCCCTGCAGGAAGTCTCTGGTTTATAATCGTCTGTTTTTATTTTGTTGTGTTTTTTATTGTCACTATTTTTTTCCCCTAATGTCTTATTTGGTTCCTCTAGTTCCTCCTATAAGTGATGACACATTATTTTCCTCTACACAAAAGAAAATGAGATGATGAGATAACTTGGTTCACTTTTGAGCGTTAGCATTCAAGAGCTGCTTGACCTTTGGCAGTTCACATAATCTTCTGAATCTTCTCCATTTCTTCACCTTTGAGGTAGATAGTATCACTGAAGGCTTTTCAAAGTAGGTTTAAGGATACTGTATGCACTACTGAAGAAAAATTCAGTTTATACTCTTCCACTTCTATTCCTTATTTGTATTATTTGCATAATTAGTTGCAATAAGTTGGCCTTTATTTGGTAGAGAAGGGAATCTAGAATTCCTATAGAAATTCTTAGAAATCTAGAAATTACTGGATGATGATGTAATGTAAGAGGAGAATATATTCTGAAATCATATTTCAAAATGATGTTACTCCATTCTTAAAAGGACTTCAGACAGCTAGAATGCTAGCTTTAAATTTAAAAATAATTATTGTTTGGAACCATGTTTTATTCCCTTTTTTAACATTCTCAGTACCAAAGTCAAGCCACATGGAAGGCATACAATAAATATGTTGATAATTTAATAAAATAAAATTAACAGGAGCTATAGAATAAATATGCAAAGTAAATGCATGCAAAATTAAGATTAAAGCTTACTTAGTACATGTCTAGTGCTCACTGTTACTGTACCAGCGTGACAGAAGGGGAGCTCCAGTTCATCTCTTTCTTTCTTCAGTCTCCTCTATGATCCTTTTTAATTTTTAATTTTCCTGGATACTCAGCTTTACCCTTCCTTGGGTGGGGCAGGGAATCTGGAACTCCCCTTTCTATAGCTATCGCACTGTTACCACTGTTTTTTTATATTATTATTATATTATGTAGTTTTATATTATATTATGTTACAAAGTGCATAGTACAAGTTAGTAATCTTGTTAGTACTTTGACTTTTTCTCTAAACTTTCAGGGGAGGTAAAACAACTTGAGTTAAATTGTTCATATTATTCTTTGGCATGATAGGAAAATTTTTATCTACAGAAAAAATTAGGAACAACTTAATTCAAGATATCCTCTCAAAGGCTGGGGGTGGGGAGTCATCTTGCCTCTAACATTGGTTTTGTGAACACCACCAGTATATTACTCAAAATCTATTTTATATGGACAGTATCCAGGAATATGTTTGTGTATAGCAGCCCAAATCAAGGTTATTATATTAAAACATGTAGAAGTGTGCCTAAGTAACTGTTTTAAAAAAGATTTATTTATGCTACAAGAACTGGGCTGTAGGCAAGAGGCAGACTGGGGAGCAGAACAGGCAAATTTACTGAAATATACAGCTGAGGGGAGAAGCAGGCGAGACAGGAGAGGTCTGCTGTACCATGTGGGTAGCTCCCTGGCTGGGGATTCAGCTTGTGCTGC